GCCACCAGGCTGTAGGACCGTGATTCGCAGTTTCCTGTACCAGTCGTAGGTTGTAGTTTCCAGTGTTACAGTTCTGCTTCTTGCTGGTTACTGTAACTAGTTGATTGACCGCGCGAGGGGGGGGGAGGCCCAAACAAGATTTTTAGCGTCTCCTGGGCGCGTTGTCTGAATTGCTGGGGGAGCTCGAAATCGACACCCCTCACGCAGATCCGCGGGGTCAGGGTCCAAAAACACATGGGATTTGCCACATTTCTGCAATTCGGTGCCACCCCTCACGCAGATCCGCGGGGTCAGGGTCCAAAAACACAGGGGATTTGCCACATTTCTGCAATTCGGTGCCACCCCTCACGCAGATCCGCGGGGTCAGGGTCCAAAAACACAGGGGATTTGCAACATTTCTGAAATTCGGTGCCACCCCTCACGCACATCCATCGCAAGGCGTGGTAACCCAAACTGCGAGTACTCCCTCGGCCCTTTAATCCCAAGGTGTGGTAACCAAGCTCGTAAACCATACACGTCTTACCAATCGCCCTGTGTGGTAACCCCTCTTGTGATCAGTTGGTTTTGCCGATTGCGAATCGGCCTCGCATGAAGTTCCGATACTGCTGCACGACAGCGCCAAAGCCTCATGACTTAGCTCTTCCATGGCCCATTCTCCGAGAGAGGGGGCCGGCGGCAGGGGGCGAAGCCCTTACGGATAAACTGCTAAGCTAAGGATGACCAGCATGATTACTAGAGCCGCGCGCGCGGTTCTCCTAGCAAGCGTTAGTTGTAGCCGAGTGTTCGGCACCGGAGGACAGATCTTGTCACACGGATCGTGCCCCCCCCCCGACGGCCGCAGAGACAGGCTTGCAACAACGCCCCCCCGCCCGTGTCGGCACACACCCCACAGGGACCGCGCCCCACGGGGAGCTCCAACTGCGTCCCCAGGGACGAGGTTCGCATGGTGGCACGCCCCTTACGCGGATCGTGCCCCGCAGGTAATTGTGTGCACGGCACCCGAGGAAAGACTCGTAGCGCCGCCCCGCTCATTTCGGCACACCACTCACGCAAACCGCGGCCCGCAAGGCGTTCCACGGACGGCCCCAGAGACAAGGTTCGCATCCCGCTCCCCCGCCTACTTCGGCACGCCTCTCACACGGATCGTTGCCCACAGGGATTCAACCTACGGCCCCAGAGGCAGCGTTCGCATTGTGCCCACCCCCCCGTGGCCATTGCGGCACATCCCATCGCGTGGATCGTGCCCACAAGGAGCACCACCTACAGGACCAAAGGAAAAGTTCGTACAACACCACCCTGCCCATGTCGGCACACCCGTCACGCGAATCGTGCCCCCCCAAAAGCTCCACCCATGGCACCAGTGGGCAGCTTTGCACGGCGACCCCCCGCCCAATTCGAAAGACACATCGCACGGGTCGTGCCCAGAGGGGACCCACCTGCGGCCTCAGTGGGCGTGTTCGCGCGGGGGCATCCGAATCATTCGGTACACCCTTCACGCTGATCGTGCCCCACATGGACTTCAGCGCGCCCGTGAACGCGTTCTCCGCAGCAGCCCGTTTTCCGCATTGTCCCGCGGCGCGCAGTATATGAAGAGAGACCCGCGTCCTGCACTACATATGACTTCGTAGGGATGGGTCCGTCGCCTGGCCAATCGCTTGCTTATCGATTGCCTTCGGCCTATAACGCAACCGTACCTGAGTTTTGGGCCAGGTGTTTCTGGGATACATGTAATTCGGAGTCTCTTGGCATGCTTCTCGGCCGCCTCGTGGAGCGAGTTTAAATTTTTTGTGTGGCCTCTTGTGGGCCGTGTGGGAGCATATTGGGGCCTCTTAGGGCCCTTGGGGGTCTCTCGGGCACCTGCTGCGGCCTCGTGGGCCCGCTCGTGGTTGCGGGCTCGAAATCTCAGTTGGCGTTCCCCCTGTCGGACCCATTTGGGGGCCCTCTTGGGCCGTCTTGAGCGCCTCTTGGGCACTATTGGGGCTCTCCTGGGCCGTCCTGGGGACGTTTTGGGGGCCTCTTGGGGCGTCTTGGGGCGATCCTGAAGGCCTCTTGGGCCGTCTTGGACGCTGTTAAAATATCAACAGCAAGCGTATGTTTTCCATGAGGGAACGTGGCACTTTAGGCCTCCGGGGTTCCTATCGGGAAGCAATTTGCAAGTTTCTTGGGGCGTCTCGGGTGGCTGCTGGGCCGTCTTGAGGCAACCTTGGGGCATCGTCGACGCTGTCGGGCTGCTCTCGTCGCTCTTGCGCGCCTTCCAGAACTGGTGTGCGCCGCCGACGGGGGGCCCAGGAGGCCCCGGATGGGGTCAAACATGTCGTGGGCCAGGGAGGGGGGGGGAATCTACGAAAGTGTATCGGCCCAGGCCCCGGGCCCAGCACCCCAGCATATACCCCTTCCTGTTCCTCCCACTCCTCCTCCTCCTCCTCGTCGCCTCGTCCTCCTCGTCCTCGTCCTCGTCCTCGTCCTCCTCCTCCTCCTTCGGCGTCCTTCGGCGTTCGGAGAAGGTCACCGCCTGCACGCGACAATGAAGACACTCCCGCAACAGAGAGAAAGCAAGACAAACGAGCGCTGTCTCGGGGCAGGTGCAGTCTCGGGGCGGCCCCGGTACAGGGCCCGACCCACGACACCACCAAACACGCACACGAGTAAAGGGCAGTCCCGTAAATGTCTGAAGAGTGCCGCTGCCACCGCGGCGAGAGAAGCAGCGTGCTGGCGCAATCCAGCAACGCACAAGAAGAAACGAAAAGGCGAAGTCCAGCCAGACACCACAAGGGAGGGCGGGGCGGGTACCAACTTGGGGCAGCCCCAGAACATGACCCGCCCCCTGACCTGACCGGACAAATATGGAGCAGGCTTCAAAATGCCTAATCAATGTCGCTGTCTCCGCGGTGAGGAATGGTGCGTGCTGGCTCTGGCCAGCGACGCCCAAGATCCTCACGCAGGCGTGTGGATGCCATGACACTGGACACTCCAACAGTCCTGTCATTGAATTAAATGTGTGTTTTAAAATGTGTAAAACATATCAAAATGATTCAAACATGGTTCTACATGTTTAGAACATGTTTGAAGCATGTTTTAGATAGGTGATAACTATTTGGCAACACGCTTCCTCTCCATTGATCGTCCTCCACAAGTCTAATCAGTGTCGCTGTCTCCGCGGTGAGGAATGGTGCGTGCTGGCTCTGTCTGGCAAGCGACGCCCAAGATCCTCAGGCAGGCTTGTGGATGCCGTGACAATGGACATTCTAACAGTCCTGTCATTGAGCTAAATGTGTGATTTTAAAGTGTAAAATATGTTATGAAAATGGTTCTACCATGTTTTCACACATTTCAAGCATATTCGAAACATGTTTGAAATGTGCAGATTTATGTTTGACATGTTTGCCATCTGGAAATTATTTGGCAGCATGCTTCCTCTCCTGTGTTCGACTTCCAGAAAGGCAGGCTCGAAGTGGCAGCCGCGAGAGCTGGCAGCCGAGAGCAGGCTCGAAGCGGCATCTCCTGCCCCTGCGGGCACGGCGGCTTCGGGGGCGGCGGCGGTGCATCGGCCAGGAGCAGGTGCACTGGGAAGCCCTGATCCTCCTCCTCCTCCTCCTCCTCCTCCTCGTCCTCGTCCTCCTCCTCCTCCTCCTCCTCGTCCTCCTCGTCCTCCTCGTCCTCCTCCTCCTCCTCATCATCATCCTCCTCCTCCCCCTCCTCCTCTTCCTCCTCCTCGTCTTCATCCTCGTCCTCCTCCTCGTCCTTCTCCTCCTCCTCCTTCTCCTGTGTATATATATAGGTATATGTGTATGTGTGTATGTGTGTATGTATATACATTTACATATACACCTATTTCTATTTATATATATTTTACAGGGCCGGGGACCCCGGAAAAGCGGCGCACGGTGCCCCCTCCCCCCCCCCAAACGAATTCCGGCCTCCCCGAGCCTCTGGGGCGCTCCTGCAGAGTGCTCCCGTGGATCTCCGGTCCTCCTGGACCCCCCAGGCAGGTCTGTCCTGCGAGTCCGACGCGAAAAAAAAAGCCCCCACGACGGCCAAAGAGGGCCCCGAGACACCCAAAGACCGGCCCAAGACGCCCAATATGGGCCCAAAACTGCCCAAGAGGCCTCCAAGACGCCCCAACAGACCCCCAAGAGGCCTCCCAAGAGAGCCCCGAGAGGCTAAAATGGTTGATTTTCCTGTTTTTTTTATGTTTTTGGCCTTTTCGTTTTTTCCGCTTCCCCACGCTCCAACACGGCCCAAGAGGCTCCCTAGATCGCCCCAGTACTGCCCAAGAGGCCCCCAAGAAGGCTCCAACACGGTCCAGGAGGGCTCCAAGACCGCCCAAGAGGCGCCCAAGGCGGCCCAAGAGAGCACCAAGACGGCCCCAAGAGAGGCCCAAGAGGGCGCCCAAAAATTCAAACTTAAGTTTTCCGCCGCGAGCGGGCCCCGAGAAGCCCCAAGAGTGCAATGGTCCCGCTTCTGACCACTGCCCTGATAGCAATCCTGATAGATGCTTCTCTCTTCTCTGCCCTGACAACGTGTTGAAGTCACTGTAGGCGGTGTTGAGCTCGTCCAAAGACGGGTCGAATATGGGGGGCAGTGGCTGTGCGATGCTGATCGCACGATGGTGATGAACAGGATCTGTTTGTCAGCGGGCAGTTCGCTGTCCTGCGTCTCTCAGACGCACGCCAGAAATCCAGCGTCGCTGAGACGCTGCAAGGTCTTGAGCCAGAACGGTTTCGGTTGAACCTGTTCTGTTTATAATGTATGTTGCAACTTGTTGCTAGGGAAACGGAGGGCCTACTAAGCAAGGCTCGCTGAAACCTGGAGTCTTAAAGGGGCCCGATTCGCCGGGAGACGCTTGGCTAACATACACTAGGCTCCTTTGGAGCCTGAAGCTTATATCACGCTCGGCCTCTAGAGGCCATCTGTCGTAAGTAGGCTCTGATGAGGCAGGCTCTGGGCTGCGAATTGCATGCCCAAAAGCTAAAGATCGATGTCACGGCATCGAGACCTGCCTCTGGCAACTGAATTCACAGAAAGCACAGAGCGCGTGAGCGGCTTCACCGTGCCCCACATGGCTGTATCTCCAGCAGGGTTCTCCTGCTCGTCGGGGTTGTCGCGGGCGTAGTAGATCAGGGCCTCCAGCATTGCGTTCTCGTCATCGTCCGATATCGGCTTGCCATGGTCGAGCTTGTCCATACCCTCGGTCTTGCGCTTCCGGGAGCTGCGGTGAAGGGGATCGTCCACGAGTCTCCAGCGCTGGCCTGATCTGAAGAACTCCAGCAAGACCTTGGCGGCGCGATCCCTGGTCAACCCGTCGGCTAACATGGCGTCGCTGTGTACCCAGCGTATCTGGAGGGCCGTCTGCTCCTTCTGCTGTCGAATGCCCGGGCACTCGACGCTCGTCCGCTTGTCGCGTAGTCCGAGACCAGCTGACTCACTCTTCTCGATCGCGTCGTAGCCCGACTTACCGTCTGTGACAAGTACGCCAGGGCAAGATGAGATGGCGTCGTTCACGTGCTGCTTGTTGGTGTAGTCCACTTGACCGCACTCCAGCTCGTAGATAAATAGGCGCACGTAACTGATCTCGTCTAGGGTCTCAGTCATCATCTGGACCTCCGCACTCGTACTGCTTCTGGCCACTCTTGGTAGCTTGCACGATCTCCAAGAGATAGGCGCAACCGTCTCTGTCGAGCCACTCAGGAAGGACAGGGGGGCCAGAACAACGATTTCTCCGCCTTGGGACTCGCCGGTGATGCGGGCGGCCCAGGCTGCGTCGCCCCAGCCAACCACGGCGATCTGCTCAATGGCCGGGATGAGCATGACCACGTCGGCGGTGTCATTCATGGCGCGGATGAGCTTGTTGATCTTCTGGGTGGTTGAGACCGTGGCCGTAGGTATCTCCGCTTGCAGTAGAGAGACTTCTGCGCTGAGCCACGGGGCCGACTGCTGAGCTCGCCATCCGAGTGTACCAAGTCGGCCTCGTAGGTCTGATCTCTCCTTGTCTGAAACTCCTTCTGTGGGTTCCCGTCCACGTCGTATCTTGATGGGCTCGGCTCCACGTTCAGGCTGTAGCTGTCCTGTGCGAGGCTGCAGGTGTAACCCTCGTTCTGTCGAATGCTGATGCCGCACTGCACGAACGCTCGGCTCTCCCAGGGTGTCCATTCAAAAGCTTGTTGAATCTCCTGACGCTTCTTGAGAAGGGCCGGGTTGTTGTGGTCGCCGGCAATCATCATATCGTCGACGTGTAGGATGACCATGCCGAACAGCTTGTTGCCGTCTCGGATGACCCAGACGCAAGGCTCGCACTGAACGATCTCCAGCTTCAGCGTCTTGAGCGTGTCCTTGAAATGGAGCCACCACTTGCGAGGAGCATGTACGAACCCGTACATAGGCTTGAGGAACTGCAGTACATCGTCATCTTTCATGCCGAAGGCCTGACGAACATCTTTCGGCGGGTCGGCGTAGATCTTCCTCTTCTCCTCGTCAGTCTCGCCCTGGAGGAAGGCTGTCACTGCGTCTGCCTTCTCCAGCTTCCACTTGTGTCTTGCTGCCATGGCCAGTAGAAGTTGTCGTGCACGTCTTGAAGCAACTGGTGATTCTGTCCGAAGGTGTAGCAGATCGGGGTCGCTGAAGCCGAGCACGACCAATCTGGCCTTGCCTCGAAGCACGTTGCCCTGCTCGTCCTTCTTCCAGGTCAGCACGAAGCGGCAGCGCAACAGGCGCGCCGGGTCGATCCCCTTGCGGCCGAGGATCCTGACGGCCCTCGTGCTAAGGACGGAGGTGCACTCCTTCTGCTGGGCCTCAAGTAGCAGCTTCTTTTCCTCAGGCGTCGCCTTCTTGAAGGAGAACTCCACGCGGCCCTTCCGGGCCTGTGATGCCACGAAGTTGCTGGGGTCGTCCATGTAAGCCATGGGCGCGTGCTCGTTGCTGACGGGGATGTCCAGCACGATGAGCTCGTCGTCCTTCTTCGTCTCGTCGTACTGCTGGACGCTGTAGGCGTAGTCCGCGTAGAAGTTACCCTCCTGCAGGTAGTAGGAGAAAGCCTCCTGGGTCGCAACGTTGATCCGCTGCTTCTTGGCAGGTGGCTCGGTTGAGCCAGGCGACCGCAGCCGGCGCTTGTCGTTCACGTCGGGCGCCGTAGTCTCGTCGAGGTCGTCGTCCGTGTCCACCGCAATGGGCTGCTGAGACGTACGCTCCGCTTGGTCGTCGTCGGGAGGGGCCTCCATGACGATCTCCTCTTCTGCAGGTAGCTCGGCTTCCTCTTGGTGTCCAGCTTCGTGGCCTCCCTCTTGTGGAATGCCTGGTGGTGCTTCTGGCTGTGCTGGCTGTATGAGAGGTTCTTGGACCTCGGCCGCCTCGGCCCAGGGATTGCCCTTCTTCCGAAGGCGCCTTGGAGGTCGCGGTCCGGGAAGAGGTCGCTCTTCCAGCCCTGGGGGTGCCTCGATGGCTCCACCACCTCCGCCGCCGCCTCCTCCTGGGCCCAAGCTCCGAGGATCTCCTCGCGGCACGGGTAGATGCTCGTCCTCAGGAATGGCCCAGGGCCCGCTCGCGTCGCCCTCGAAGGTGCGAGCGCTGACAGACTCGCCGTCGTCAGCGGCAAGGTCCTCGCCAGTAGGCGGGGACTCGTTCGAAAGAAAGTCAATCACCTCGTTCTGGTCGAGCAGCTTCTGGACGTCGCCGAAGGTCCACGCCCCCGGCTGCTCGCGACGCGAGCGTAGAGAGTCCATCGCCTCTTCGGAGGGCGTAGCAGGTCGAAGCTGTTCTGGGGCAATTCGGTAGAGGCGTCCAGCCAGTGTGATGTTGACCACCGTCCCATGTAGACCAGGTCGATGTCCCGAGCTCGCGGGCTCGTGGCAGAGTGCTCGTCCAGGTCCGTACCAGCGGCCTCGCCCAGGCATGGGGCGAGGTTGGCCCTTCTTGAGCCAGGCTCCTGGTGGGAGCCTCCTGTAGACGAAGACCAGGTCGCCCGTCTCGTACCTCTTGAAAGACCTGAAGCGCGCGGCCTCCGCCAGTTTGACTCGGTCGGAGATCTCAGTTTGGATGTGAGCCAGCCGCGCCATTCGTCGAACATGGGCGTCCCTGCTGAAGGTGCCATCCTGCAGCTCGGCGCTGATGAGGGGCAGGTTGTTCGGCTCGTCGGACAGGTTGACCGTGGTCCCCGTCGGTGTCCGTCCTGCGTAGCGCTGCAGTGGGCTGAGCCCGTCGATCCTGAGCAGGTCGTTTCTGGCGGCCGTCTGGAGTCCGATCATCTCGCTAGTAGGTACTTCAGCTGAGACCATCTCGTCGAAAGCGTCGAGGGCCTCTTTGAAGGCTTCTATCGCGCGCTCAATCTTGCCGATCTGCCAGTGGGCGCCGGCCGCGCATGGAAGGCAGTAGACTCCCTGGCTCTCGATCCACTCGCGGAACTCGTTAGAGATGGCGCTGCCGGCCGGGTCGTAGCGCATGACCTTCGGACGTCCCATCCAGGGAAACCACTTTGTCGCAAAGATATGCCGAAGGTCGCCGGCACGAACTTGCCGGGTCGTACCCGGGATCTGCTTCTCGTCGATCAGCCGCACGTAGAGGATGTCTGAGCCGGCGTCGAGGATCGCCAGCGCCATCACGTTCGTCTTCTTGCTGCGACGGATCCACGAGAAGGCGTCGAAGAGAACCTCGTGACCGTTCTGAGGCTGCTCTGCTGATGATGCTGGTGGCCGCTTCGTCGGTGGACGGTGCGCGTCGCAGATGTCCCAGTTGAATGTCCTGGCCAGTCGTAGCACCTCTGGGCGCACCACGGTCGCGAAGGCATCGTAGTAAATGCGCTCGAGGTAGATGTCCAAGGTTGGTGTGCACCAGCCTGGTGTAGCTCTCGATATTCTTGATTGTCTCGTTGGTGAGGTTGTGAGTTTCCTTGCCGTCTTGTGGTGGAATTGACGGCTCGTCCACCATGGGCGTAGGCTCCGTCGGTGGCTGCTGGGTAGCTGCCATGCAGAGGCAGTTCACAACCTCGTCCTCGAAATAGTTATGGTTCTGGCTCTTGGTCAGAGCCCGGAGGATCCGGCGGCGCAGCATCTTGGGGTAGTAGCCCGAAGCCTCGGTCCTCAAGCTGCTCTCAATCTCCTCGTGGTAGTGTCCTCCACGGCATTGTAGCGGCTGTAGGGCTGCCCAGATCCTCTTGTCGTTCGTCAGATACTTCCGGCGCTTTTTTTCATGAGCTCGCCTGTGTCGGGAGCTCTTAGTCCGCAGGCGCAGCCGTCCACGATCACCTCGTAGGGGAGAACCTTGTGGAGATCCTTCCAGCAGGTCTTCTGCCACGACCGACTGTTGCGTGGCTGCTCGGCGAGGGCCGAGCCGTTCAGGTTCAGCACCTGGTGCTCTATGAGCCTCTTGTTGTTCTCGAAGATCCGCTGGCTCTTGAGGCGCGCCCTGCGAAGGTTCTCCCTCTGCCTGTCATCGCGCTGGTTGACGTTCTGCATTGCCGACAAGGGCCCGCAGGGTGGAGTGCTGACGAAGAGCTCCGGGCGCTTCTCATCCAGCAAGAACTTCGCCTTGTGGTAACCCTGCGGCTTGCTGAGGTCGTTCTCGTTGAACAGGCCGAGACGCTCGTAGTGGTAGCCCTTCTCGTCGCACGCCTTACCGAGGTTCGAGCCCTCGTGGGCGCGCGCTTCGACCATCGCCAGGCGGCCGAAGGTCGCGAGGGAGCACGTAGCTCCGAAGATGGCCGATCTCGTCATGTGAGTAGCTGCACGGATCGCCTGACGCTGATGACCTTTCAGCGGCCGGCTCTCGTCGCTGTGCCAGCGCGACCTCTCGGCCTGAACCTCACTCAGACCCTCGTCCTGGCCGCGCATGCCTGGTGGCACCACCCGTAGCGCCTCACTTTCACGATCGGCTCGTTCTTCGCGATGCCTCGGCATAGCTTGCAATCCGGGCGCTGGCACATCTGCGTGTAGTGAGCTGGGATCGCCGGGCCCACAGTCGTAGGCGCCGTCTCCACCTTCTTCGTCTCGGTCTCCACCTTGATCTTGATCGTCGCTGCCGCCGTGCCGCGCTGCTCGATGATGTACGCTATGATCTTGTCGACCACCTCCTCCTTCTTGCCCGACTGGGTCAACCCCCACATCTTGCACAGGGGCCTGAGGAGGTTGCCCAGCGTGACCATGCTGAGCTGCTCGTGTATCTGCTCTGAGCTGAGCGCTGCAAACGCATTCACCTCCGCAAATTGGTCAATAAATCTGACTTTGCGGTCTCGATGGTGGCCCGCTGCTTTTGGTTCTGCTCGCGCGCGGCGGCGGCTGTTGACTGCTGGGGGCGCTGCTTCGCCTTCGTGCTCGGCGGACACGGCTCAATCTTCGCACGGTGCTCGAGGTCCGTCGGCCATGTCGGGTACTTCTCTGGTAGCAGCTGCACAGGTAGGCCGAGACTGTCCAGCTTCCAGTTCACGTGGTCGATCGTCTTGAGAAATATTTTCTGGGCGACCCGCCCCCAGCGGCGGCGCTGTGTCCACTGCCGGAGGAGCTTGCTGGCCCACATCTCCCAAGTCGGCAGGTGCTCCAGTAGGAAGATGTCCGTCATCCGCTTCGTGCTGTTGTCCAGCTCCGAGCCCTCGACCGTGTAGAAGATGTTGTCCTTCGTGTCCTGATGGGCGATCAGTCGCCCCTGCGGCAGCATCCGTTGCAGCGTAGGCCTCGTCGACGTCGGTGAGCGGCACGTCGCCGAGGCCCCCGAGTCCACCAGAGGCACCCGAACGCCCACCTGCTCCCAGGGGCCGTCCATCTCCTCGTTCTCCAGCTTCACTTGCTGGCGGCTTTGCGGCATTTCGTCTCGCGGTTGAGGCTCATGCGAATATGTAAGACAAGCTGGGTCTCGTCGGAGCTCTGAGCTCGAATATGGAAGAATAGCTGGTTGCCGAAATCGGAGCTCGGAGCTCGAATCGTTCGCACCACAAATGGCTCTGGAAGACGGTGGCGTTTCCGTTTGGAGCGCTGGGAAATCGGGGATCTCTGGGAAAGCCTCTGAAGGTGATCCTGATGATGTCATAGCTGATGCCGTAGGGGCCGATATAGATGATGTCCACGACGTTTTTATTGATGATGTCCCCGGATGCGTAGGTGATGATGATATCCCCGTAGGCGTGCAGGATGATGGTGTCCCCGTAGGCGTAGGTAATAATGAGGTCCCCGTGCTCGTAAGTGATGATGATGTGCTTGAGGCCTGCGGGGCTCCATTCTCTGGGACCTCGTCGGGGGCCTTATGGGGCGCAGCTGCAGGCGGTTCGTCAATCTTGCTTTCGATCGGCTGCTCATTGTCATGTTTTCCCTCCAGCACTGTAGCAGCCTCGGGCGTCGAGGGCGTGGGCCCCTACCCGAGGGATGCCACGAAGCCAAAATCGACTTGTTGAACAAGTGGCAGCGCAAGGTGACCGCTCGGAAGGACGAGCAGTTCAGCTCGGCGTCCGAGCTTCTTGAAGTAAACCGAGTGCGCCTCGCAGTCGATCACAGCTCCAAGGCGGCTCAGAACATCCACTCCGATCAAGAGCGGGGCATCTGCGTCGAAGATGTTAATCTCGAGCTCGCCGTCCACACCGGCAATCTAGAGGGGAAAGGTAGCCGTGCCGGTGCAGGTCTTGGAGTTGCCGTCTCCAAAGATAAAGGTGCTCTTCTGGCTAACGTCCATCTCGATGTTCTGGCCCGTCTGCTCGTAAATGATGTCGCGTAGATTCTCGGCGGCCTCTATGCCCGTGATGCTGGAGGTCGCGCCGACGTCCAAGATTCCAAAACCCTTGGAGGAGCTCTGCTTCACACTCATGAGGATCCAGTCGTCGAGCTTCTCCAGGGTAGGCCAGCTCGGCAGCTTGACGCGTTGAACTCGCTCCCACATCTCGATGGACTTCTCCATATGAAGATGCTGTGTCTTGTCGAGCTGCCTCTTCTCCTGCTTCGGCTTGTTCTTGATCACCTTCTTGTGGCGCATCGCAAGTCTCCAGCTCGAGGCGGGTCGTCTCGTTCGCATTGAGGTTGGCCTCCATCTCGGCGCCCTGCTCGGCGCCGAAGAAGACGAAAGCTCCAAAACCTCGCTTTGGGCGTTCACGATCTCCTTTGCTGCCGGCCGATGAAGCGCGATCTCGATGATCCTTCGTCTCGCGATTGCCGCCGCACTTCAGACATGGCCCCTTCCGGGGCGGCCGACCTTGGGGGCGATCTCCATCTCGTCGAGGCGGTCCGTCACGTCGCTGTCCGCCCCCTCGGCCTCGTCCTTTACTCGACGATCCAGAGCCTCGGGATCCAGCCCGGGGCCTCTGGAACTTGCGCTGTCCTCCGCGACCTTCTCGCTTCTTGTTCATATCCACGGGGTAGAACTTCCTCGCTGTCTTGACTCGTCGAAGGAGGTCTCTGGCTTCCTCGAAGCTGCGCTGCTGGGCGGCGAACGCGGTCTCGGCGTCCTCGATCTCCTGGGCACTATATAGCGGCTCCTCGGGATCTCCTTCGTCCTCGTCGCCGTCGCCATCCTCGTAGGAGACCTCCGACTGCACTCCATCGTAGTAGCTGTAGTCGTCGTCGCCCTCGCTGTTCTCCTCCCAGCCGGCATGGATTCGACCTCGCTCTCGGTGGCGATGGTTGTCCTTGCCTTGCTTCTTGTCGCGATTCGTCAACTCGTCAGTCGGGCCAAGATACTCGCAACTGCTCTCCGATGCTGTCGTAGTCGAAGTTGCCCTTGACTGCGCTGATCACTGCGGCACGTTCGGTCGGGGACAATCTTGATCTCTGCAGCAGTAGCCATCCGCGCAGTTGGTCCAGAGGAATCGCCTGATTGAAGTCGGTACCGAAATCTGGATGCTCGGGTATCTCCTCCAGGCCGTCGCTGACGAAAGTCCAGAGACGCCAGTTGAGGTCCTTCGCTACTTCTGCGGCATTGTCCGGGCCTTCATGCTCGATCTTGTAAAGAAACCACTTCAGCTCGCTGTAGAGGGTGTTCCACAACTTGGATCTCTCGGAGAGTCGGGCCGTACGCTGCTTCTTGAAATACTCGGTGCCAGACCCTTTCACAACGTCGTGGTAGGCCTCGTCGTCTCTGCTGATATAGCTCGGCATCGGCACTCCGGTATCTCGGCGTAAGTCGAATATCCATCTCGCGAGGTACTTGCCTGCATCCTGGATGAGCTGTGCTCCAAGCTTCGCTCGAACATGTCGTAGTAGTTCCGCAGCTCCATCATCTTTCTCGATGCGGTCCCAATCCACGTCTTTGGCTGCTTGTCGTGCTCGACCTTCGAGTCGTCTCCATAGTCGTGGGCCGCATACGTATCATTCATCTCGCCTCGCCTCTCGGATGTAGGCTTTGACGTCTCTCTCGTAATCGTCCACCGTGGTGAGATCTCCGTTCCACTTGGGTGTGATGTCATCATTTCCGTTGTTCTTCGTCATGGCTCAAACGATGAAAATTATGTCCATGAGTCTGTAGTCCGTGGAGCTTAGCAGCTCCGCTACCATGCAATGGTCCCGCTTCTGACCACTGCCCTGATAGCAATCCTGATAGATGCTACTCTCTTCTCTGCTCTGACAACGTGCTGAAATCACTGTAGGCGGTGTCGAGCTCGTCGAAAGACGGGTCGAATATGGGGGGCAGTGGCTGTGCGATGCTGATCGCACTATGGTGATGAACAGGATCTGTTTGTCAGCGGGCAGTTCGCTGTCCTGCGTCTCTCAGACGCGCACCAGAAATCCAGCGTCGCTGAGACACTGCAAGGTCTTGAGCCAGAACGGTTTCGGTTGAACCTGTTCTGTATATAATGTATGTTGCAACCTGTTGCTAGGGAAACGGAGGGCCCACTAAGCAAGGCTTGCTGAAACCTGGAGTCTTAAGGGGCCCGATTCGCCGGGAGACGTTTGGCTAACATACACTAGGCTCCTTTGGAGCCTGAAGCTTATATCACGCTCGGCCTCTAGAGGCCATCTGTCGTAAGTAGGTTCTGATGAGGCAGGCTCTGGGCTGTGAATTGCACAGAGGGCCCCATGAGGCCCCAAGAGGCTCCCCAGAGGCCCCAAGGAGCCCCCAAGAGGCCTCCAAGAGGCCCCAAAAAGATCCCAAGAGGCCCACAAACAGCCCCCAAGAGGCTGCAAAACTGCCTCCCAGAGGCCCCCGAGAGGCGAACCACGAGATCCCAACACAGCGGTCTCCCCCTCTCATTATCCCTTCTCTTTGTCGTCGCCTTCTTCGTCGTCGTCGTTGTCGTCGTCCCCATCCTCTTCCTCGTCTTCCTCCTCCTCCTCCTCCTCCTCCTCCTCCTCCTCCTCCTTCTCCTCATCCTCTTCAGCTCTTCCGGTTCAGCTCAATCGGCACAGGACTGAGGAGGAGAAACAGGAGGAGAAGCAGGAGGAAGGGGGGAAAAGAAACGGGCACAGAAGAATACGAGGACAAATAGAACGAGGAGCAGATAAAGGAGAGCGGAGGAGAAGTAACGATTACCACCCAGCTAGCAAACGAAGCAAGGGGAAAAGGATGAGGAAGAAACAGTGATCGAACCCGCTTCGCTTTGGATTTCCTCGCAACTCCGACTGCGGAAGCGCATTGCTCCATAATGTTCCCGCTTTCTTCGCCTGAGACATTATTGCAGACCTTCCGAGATGCGCATGTGCATGCGCGCCCAGGGCTGCGCAAACGATTTGCGTATACGTGTACATACCCTTGCACGCGTACATTCATATTCATAAATGCAAGCAACGTGTACGTATGGGCGCAGATGCGCGCGTATGTACGCACGCACGCACTCCGCTAGCTTGCGAAACTCAAGGACCAAGGTGCATGGCGCGCAGCGCAAGTGCAGTCTTGTGTATGTATACATATATATATGTATATATATATGTATATATATATATATATATATATATATGTATATATATATGTATATGTGTGTATATATATTATACATATATGTGTGTACATGCATACGGGGAGGTTACAACAACAAGGCATTTTAAACATACGGAATCTAAAACTCGAGGTTGCCCCGTAGAGAATGCAGCCCCGAAGCAAAGCCGACAACAAAACCAGGAATTTCAAAAACAAGAAGCGGACCCGCGATGCGGCATGAAACAAAACAAGGAACACCCTGGAACAGCAGGAGGAAGATCTGGGAAAAATCAATCGAGAGATCTGGGGAGTGTCCAAAGGAAGACTTAACGCGGTTGCAAAGCGATAAATCTGGAGGAATGTGTCGGGTATAGTTGCAGAAATATCTGAGGGAAGAAGATCTGGCGGAAAATCTGGAGAAAGACCTGCCGGAAAATCTAGCGGAAAATCTGGCGGAACATCCCGCGGAAAATCTGGAGGATACATTTGGCGGAGGATCTGTCGGAAGATCTGGCGGAAAATCTTGAGGAAGATCTGGCGGAAAATCTGGCGGAAGATCCGGCGGAAGATCTGGCGGAAAATCTCGCAAACGATTTAGAAAATCAATCTGGAGAAAGGTATTGCGGAAAATCTGGCGGAAGATCTCGCGGAAGATCTGGAAGAAAATCTGGCGGAAAATCTGGCGGAAAATCCCGCGGAAAATCTAACGGAAAATCTGCCGGAAGATCTGGCAGAAGATCTGGCGGAAGATCTTGCGGAAGATCTGGCGTAAGATCTGGCGGAAGATCTGGAGGGTGAAACTGGACGAAGATCTGGCGGAAGATCTGGCGGAAGATCTGGCGGAAGATCTGGAATATAACTCTGGAGGAACATCTGGCGGAAGATCTGCCAAAAGATCTAGCGGAAGATCTGGCGGAAGATCTCGCGTAAGATCTGAAGAAAAATTTGGCGGA